TCGCCACCCTTTTTCGGACCAAATCAAATTTGAATGTCGATCCGTCTTTGAGGCCTCTGAAAAAGTCAGTATAGGCTACCTCATCCGGTAACCCTTGAATCTGTATTCTCATCAGGTTAAACCGCCTGATGTAAGAACGAAGCCCCTCCTTCTCGCTCTGCTGAATCGTTCCTAAATCAAGGGTCGTCTTTTTTGCAGGTATGTTCATGGAAAAGTTGGAGGTGAATAAGTAAGCAAGCGTCCTGAAGTTATTCACACAACCAGTCGGCAGGTTGCCAAACCATTGTTGTGCGATTCCTTTGAGAGTCGCTGGGAAACACTTGCACCAAGTGGGATCATCCAACCCTTGAAGGTACATCAGGTTGGTGAATGCCATCAAATGGTCTTCTGGGTTAGTAGTGCCGTCATAGGCGCCTACTAATACATTTTTCACTTTGGCCGGCTGAGCAGCTTCGGCAATTTCCTTGGAGAAGGCCGACGGCTGTTCCCCAAGTCTAAGCAACCGTAGCTGCCAGTCCATAGGTTGGACATTCTTTGCTGCATGCCCACCAAACAGAGGTGGCTGCAAAAAATATTGTTGTTGCGGTACAAATGGTAAGTTTGGTACCGCCTGGTCACTATGAAAGCCGGACTGACGGGAGGTACCGCCTGACTGACTCTCATGATGCGACTGAGTATGCCTCATCGAGGTATTGCGCAGACTGTCTTGGAAGTTTGAAGTAGAGGCCGATTCTGACAATCGGTCATTCTTCTTCTGTTCTAGCAATAACCGAGCATCTGTGTATGTTTTCTTCGACCCGTCCGCCTGAATATGCCGAACAGGTTTCCTCTTTCCTGGAGTAGGAAAGCGGTACTTTGTTAAATCAAGGGCAGGCGGCTCCCACTTCCTAGAGTTAGGATGAGGGGTCGCCTCTCGCCCTTGAACTGGCTTCCTCTTCCCTGAAGTGGAAGGTTTCTTAGCCGACTGCTCCTTGGCCAGAGCAGGCTTCTTGTTGAGCAACTCTTGAATCTCTCCCTTGAAGCCCCTCATGAAGGTCATGAGTTCGTTTCTTGTAATGGGAGCAGACCCATCAGCCGGCTGCTGCTGAACAGGCGGTGCGCCGGCTGGATCACTGGGTCCAGTTTGAAAATGTTCCCGTTCCCTCCTTTCGGTATGACGGGTGCGTCGGGCCCTTAGGGTCCCGTCTGAAGCTGTGTGAGCTTCAACTTCAAATTCATTCTCAGTATCGTGGTCCGACTGAACTTGAGGGTCGTCTAGGGGACGCCTCTCTTCAGGAGTCGGTACAGACATGGATGCCATCTCAGAAGTACTCTCCCCACAGACGGCGCCAAAATGTTTCGGGGTTTTCTGATGTCCTGCGGGAGAGTTACAATTCCGAGACTGGAACCGGACGCCTGTACCTGCAAAACAAACGGATGCTCCGGATGATTGGAGATCCGCCTCCGACGGTCAAGTTAGTACTTGATTAAGGAGTAATTAATGCGGAAATAAAAGTGATTGGGTCTCTCTAGGTGAGAGTGTTTAATGTGCGTAATCTCCCTTAATGAGGTTTAAGGGAGGTATTTATAACCTTGGGAAACGTGTCAATCCTAGGTTTAGGTTAACCTTGGGCTGATTGGGCTTCCCTCGGAAGTTGGGCCTTGGTGGCCGGTTTCTCCATTAGGCATGGAGTATGCCACGTGTCATGACATAATAGGTCCAAGGTGGACGAATAAGCGTGTGCCACGTGGCAAGCCCTGACAGTTCCAACTGGGGGACACTTGGCAGGACCTGATTGGCCCACGTGGCGCATTCCGATTGGTGGGAGCAAAATCCCCTAATCACTTGTGATTGATTAATTATCACTAGCTATTATACATAGAATGATGGACCTTGAATGCACGCGGCATATAACTTTGGTTTGTGTTAGATTTCAGGAAAACTCCTCAATTTGGAGTGTGTACTATTGATCAATATATATAGAGTTTTACAAGACTTGTAATGCTAGTACGATAAGGATACAAAATATATACAAATATTATCATAACTATAATATCTATCACACCCCCGCAGTCATAGCGGGAGGAGGTCGTACGCTAAGACTAGATCTAAAATCCAAAAATAAGTCTCGTGGTAGGCCTTTTGTGAAAATGTCCGCAAACTGATATCTAGAAGGAACATGTATAACCGAACTTGTCCCAAAGCAACCTTTTCTCGAACAAAATGAATATCCATCTCCACATGCTTGGTGCGTTGGTGTTGTACCGGGTTGCCAGAAAGGTAGATAGCACTGACATTATCACAACAAACAATAGTAGCTTGTCGAAGAGGACAATGTAACTCAAGTAAAAGATTAAGAAGCCAACATGCCTCAGAGACAACATTTGCGATGCCTCGATATTCTGCTTCCGCACTCGATTTAGATAAAGTATGTTGACGCTGCTACCCATTGTCTCTCCCACGCCCCTCCCTTTTCTTTTACCAGGCCCACCGCGTCCGCGGCCGCGACCTTCACCTCTGTCGGCGGGAGGCGCGCCAAAACGTTGTTGCTGTGGTTACGGTGAGGCTGGTGCTTAGGTTCCGTTGGCGGCGTTGCTAGTGGTATCCTAGGCTACGGATGAAATAGGTTGGGAACCTTGATCGTTTGCACGCCCAGTTTCTTCAAGGAGAAGACGAGACTGGGTTGTCTCGAATGACGGGAAGGGGTCGGTCTGCTGAATGGGTGGCTACGGTGTCATAGTCCGCATTCACAAGTGCGGAAACAAGACGGATGACCAGCTTCTGCTCCGTAACTGGTTGATCCACCACTGCTAATTGGTCTTTTAAGACCTTTAATTGCCTACAATAAGCGTTAGTCAGAGAAGTTGGACAAATGAAGGTTGTTAAATTGATTCTTGAGGTACACCGCTCTCGTATTTTTATTATCTTGAAAAAGATCATTTAATTTATCCCAAATTTTTTGAGCAGAGTCACCCTTGCATAGAATAGATTGAAGAAGGTCGGTAGAAATCATCCCGTAGATCCATTACTTGACAATGGAGTCAAGACACAGCCACAAGGAGTCGGAGATATCAGATGGTCGAGACACGATTGAGTCAATGTGATCAAGAACGTTGAAAGCGTGGCAATGAACTTCGAACAACTCTACTCAATTTGAGTATTGAACCTTTTCTCTATCAAGGATCAAAGGGATAGCATTCTTGATATTATTGACAGAAAGTGTGGGATGATACTCCGTTGACGGTGGTGGCGGTGGAGGGGGCGTCTCCGAATTTGCCATTATGCAGGGGATGCGCAAAGAAGAGTGTGTGTGCTATGCGGAAACGAACAAGGAAGATGCACACTCATAGATCCCAAATAAATCGTGAATAGAGCCAAAATTAAAAAAAAAAAAAAAAAAAAAAAAAAAAAAAAAAAAAAAAAAAAACTTGATTGAAGAGAAAAAAAATTTGGAGCTTGAAAAATTCCTTAATTTGGAGTGTGTACCATTGATCAATATATATATAGTTTTACAAGACTCGTTATCCTAGTACGATAAGGATACAAAATATATACAAATATTATCCTAATATGTGACAAATATTATCCTCAATCTGGAGTGTGTACCATTGATCAATATATATAGAGTTTTACAAGACTCGTAATCCTAGTACGATAAGGATACAAAATATATACAAATATTATCCTAATATGCTACAAATATTATCATAATTATAATTTCTATCAGTTTGTAAGTATAGCAGTTTATATATTGATTATTGCATATGATTGTATAGGTGAGGATCAAGGAGATGGAGGGATGGTTCCCGTGTGACGGGGGTTCGAGCCACATCCCCCCTCCCCCCTCCTGTGATAGGAGGGGGCTTTCCGTGCACCTTAGCAATAAAAAAAAAAATATATGATTGTATAGGTGAATATTTTATAGTTCAATGATATATATACTTAGAGATATTTTAATATGAGGCAAAAACAAAAGGAAATTCTATTAAATACGGAGTATAACACAAATACAAAGTATTACTCCGTCCTTAAATATAGTTTCTATTCGACTTATTTGGGTCAAACTTTGAAAATGTTGACCATAAATTCCCGTTAATTTATAAGAGATAATATGTTCATGTAGGATTTTATTGGATTTGTCACATTTTATATTTTATTGATATCAAGTTTTTATAATTTTTACACACATAAAAATATAGATATAAACATTTTAAAACACGTCTTAAAAACCGTAAAAAGCTAAACGAGAATTATATTAAATTAAGACGGAGGGTATAAGATTAGAATGAAAATTCAGGAAATATAGGTCGGCTAGAGTGCTAACTAAAGTAATTCTTGCCGTTTTAAGAAAACTGATCAATATTTTGGAAATCGATCAACATAATGTCGGCAAGACTAAATTAATTGGATATATTCTTTAATGGATAATTCCTCCGTTTCTTTATAGTTGCAACACACACTTTATCACTGTATTTAAGAAAATTAGACCTCACATAATATAATACTTTTAAAATGGGGTTTAGAGGTTGTTAGGAGTATAATCAAGTGGGTCATGTGTTTTATATAAAGGTAATAGTACAATTTCCACCATAAAAACTTTCCTTTTATAATATGTTGTAACTATTGTGACATTTCTATATTAGAGAAGTGTTACAATTATAAAGAAACGGATGAAGTATTATTTTCTTCAATATATGTATATATATACATATAATTCTACAATTGATCTCATATACCCAGTAAAAAGAATGTTCTATTAGATATAACAGAAAGATTAGAATGCAAATTTAGGAAATATAACGTCGGCTAGACTAGGTTAGTAAGTAATTCTTGCCGTTTTAGAAACCAATCAATAATTAGGAAAGTAATCAATATAATGTCGGCTAGACTAAATTAATTGGATATTCTCTGTAATAGATTTTTTTTTTTTCTTCTATATATATAACTATTGCATCAATTAATCGATTTCATAATTCATAAACCCACAAATTTCTCTAAAATTTCTCCCACAACTTCAACCATGACCGTAGTTCCGTTTCATGCTTCTTGGATACCGAAACCACAAGATGAATTCAACATCCAAACTGACAATTCGAATACTCCTTTCACTCATCCATGGCTGCCTAAATATGGATCACAACCCATCCACCCGGCTACGCGTTACAATCCCCTTGACTTCGCTTTTCTTCCTCCCTTACCATCACACGTTACTAAGCCTATTTCGATTGAAACTACCCCTTTTAAACTAGTCGAGAACGTAGCCGATTTGGATTACTTGGCCACCAAGTTATCCGAGGTTCAAGAATTTGCCGTGGATTTAGAGCATAACTCCTACCGTTCTTTCCAAGGGTTTACTTGTCTTATGCAAATTTCAACTCGTTACGAGGATTTTGTGGTTGATACTCTTAAACTATGGGATGATATTGGAAGTTACCTAAGAAAAGTTTTTCAAGATCCGTTTAAGAGGAAAATCATGCACGGTGCTTGTAATGATATTAAGTGGCTTCAAAGAGATTTTAATATTTACGTGTGCAATTTATTCGATACCATGCAAGCTTCTAAGGTAATGGATTTAGAAAGAAACTCTCTTGAATTCCTTCTAAAGAAGTATTGTGGTGTAACGGCTAACAAAGAATATCAAACTTCGGATTGGAGAATTCGACCCCTTCCTCAAGACATGATCAAGTACGCAAGAGAAGACACCCATTATCTACTTTACATTCACGATGTAATGAAGACTACGATCTTATCTAAGTATGGTCAAGATTCGTTGGCCGATGTTTGTAGGTTAAGTCATAATATTAGTGTTCGATTGTACGAGAAAGAAGTGTTCAACAAGGATGTTTCGTACTTGTATTTGTACGGATTATCGGAAGCGGATTTGGATGGTAAACAACTTGCGGTCGCATGTGCTTTGTATGAATGGCGTGATAATGTTGCGAGGGAAGAAGATGAGAGTACTGGCTATGTTTTGCCTAACAAGGTTCTTTTGGAAATTGCTAAGAAATTGCCTAACAATGAGGAAGATTTGATGAGGATTGTGAAATGCAAACATGATTTTATGGATTTTGATTTTATTGTCAAGTTGATTGAAGTTGCGGTTGATATTGAATCTTGCACTGCTAAGTTCAAGGATTTGTCTCTACAATTAAGGCAAAGGATACCCGTATCGGAGATTGCAAGAAAAGTTCAATTCTCGGGAAAATGTGAAAGCCCTAGAAAATTAGTTATGTATTCTGTTCCTAAGTGTTTGCCTATTGTATTTAACCCGATTTATGCACATTGTGCTAGTAGGGTTCCAATTTATATGTAATTAAAGATTTGAAGTTGCAATCAATAGTATTGAATTTTACGCACATTTCTAAATTCTAATGAAGTGCATGCAATCATATAAGATGGTAAAATAATATATTTAGTTTTTATTTATTACGGATCTCTTGTGTGAATGAAGTATTATTGGTTAAGTAGTTCGATTAAATTAAACAAGTGATTAGGTAGCCTAAGTTTTTAAAAACTAATTAAGTTTATTTAACAAACTAATAATGATACCAATTAGTATATACTGTAATAATTTCAGTCCAAATAAAGCCATGAGAATTGTACCACAATGAGTCAATGATTGAAAATTGAAATCATCAAACGTTGTAAAACTATGCACACAATTTAAGAGTTAAAAAAAAATATAAAAAAATGTAATTGATTTTATCATGTTAAAATATACGTAATAGATTTATCTCTACTTTTCCTATATCATAATTTACATTGACAAGTCATGTCCTTAAAAAAAAAATGTGTCTTTCAAATAAAATTTGCGTGTAAAAGTAGACCATCATGTTAAATTTCCCTTATCGTATTTTATAATTAAGGATGTAGGAGGATGATTTTTGTACCAACCAAAGTAGGTATGTTTTTATCGTTCGAATCACATAATAGGTCTATAATTGGATTTTGACTAATAATATATTGATTTTGATTAGAGGTTTGTGTCTAATTGGTAATCGCTTTGGATAAATTGCTCTAACCTTCAAGGGAAGGGGAAATATGCAAGATTTCTCTTTCTTGGGCTCATGTGTGTGGAATATCAATCTTTGAATGATGAACTTTTCAAGTGAAATACTACATGGCCTTGACATAATGTTTTGCCATAGCCCCTTGCTTTTTAATTGAAGAGTGGCCACTTGATTGTTCATGTTGTGCATATATATATACCTTGTTTTCGAATTGGCTTGGCATGCATATATATAGTGCATTGCTTTGACATTACTTAATAGCTCAAATACTCTTTGCACCTCTCTTTTTCATCTGATCATATTACCCAATAAAATTGGTCAGGAGAGGTCACCCCCTTTGATAGTTTGGGTGACATGCAACTAGGTAATTTAAGTAGGCTATGACACTCTTTGCCCAAGTATAGATATGCACGGATGCACCTCATGTACAAGGATAAAAAAAATCTCATTTTGTGACAGGCTCGTGTTAGTCTTCCACATATAGGCTCGTGTTAGTCTTTCACATATATACAAAGTCCATGCATGGCCCAATCCGCATGTGTTGTGTCATTTTAGTAGGTCCCTTAACAATTTTTATTTTTATAATAAACTAGTCATAATTGGGCCGACCCATTGGGTTCGTGTTGATGATTTCATGTGAAAATTTGAAAATGATGTCCGTAAATTTTAAGGTGGACTTGCGTCCAGCTTGGCTGGTCCAGTGACCAGAAATGAACATTTACTAAAATAAAAATGAACATTTAGTAATTGAACATATTTGAAAAGTAGCTGGTTTTCCCCAACAAAAATGAACATTTACTAGAAAAAAATTAACATTATTTAGTAATTGAACATATTTGAAAATTAACATTGAAACTGCAAATGTATATTAGAAAATTGAGATGAATATTTCATTAAATGACAATAAACACTTTTTTTTTTAATGAAAAATGAATTCCAAATCAAAAAAAAGAAATATCTAAAACTTGAAATTAACATTGTAATATATAAAAATGAACATATATAATTGTACACACCTAAAAATGTCTCCCCGACCAAAGCCCGATGACGAAACAACCTCTCATTGCCTAATTTGATCCGGTTCGCGTAATGGATCTAAGAATTACTTGAATAGTCCTTTTGTTCTAGCCCAAAATTATTTTAAAAGCCATTTTATTCATTTCGTTAGCCCAAACTTAGCCTATTTTCCCTTTTCACAACTCCAGTCCCAAAATCGGTCAAAACTGAATTTTGTGCCTCTAAATTTTTATCCAAATCTTGTATGGTTGGATAGACCTTGAAATAAGCTTTCCAATGATATATCATAAGCCCAATTTCGATTAGAAACGAAAAAGATATGATTAAAATACCAAACTCTATCCAAACTAACACCATTCCACTATTTCGATCATATCTCAAATTCTACAAAAGACATCAATCTGATTTCAATTGGATTGGAAAGTAGAATTCTAGAGCTTTCCAACGATATATTATTTAACTTATTCCGATTATTAGATCAAAAGTTCACTAACTTTCATATGTGGCTGGCCACACGGTTTGGCCTGCCGCAACTTTTTTTTTTTTTTGAAATTCCCCTCTCTCTCATCCTCTCGTTCTCCTCTTCTCTTTCTAGTTTTTCTTCTCTTCCTCTTTCATCTTCTCTTTCTTTCTATCTTCTTCTTCTCTTTCATCTTTTAACCACCACTGCTGAAACTGACCACCGCAACAATACCAACACCGACATCAACAACCACCAACAACAAAACCGCACAATAACTACGGCGCCAAACGGAATTTTTTCTCTCTTTCTCTCTCTTCCCATGCTCAAACGAAGGTTTTCAAGTCAAATTCGACCATGTAAACTCTAGATCTAGCGTCTTCAAGGTCGAATCTGGCCTCGTAAACCCAATTTCGAGGTTTAATGTGGTTGAATTAAGGTATGTATCTCTTTTATTTTTATTTTTATTTTATTTTGTTGTCGTTTTTTCGGATCTAGAGGTTTTATTGTTTAATTTGTGGTTGAAAATTTATGGTGTTGGTGGTTGGTGGTGGTTGGTGGCTGTTGGAGTTTGGGTTTTAGGGGTTTTTTGGGTAACTTAGTCTACTAAGTTGGTCAGGGGTTACTAGGTCGGTTGGGGGTTACTAGGTCGGTCAGGGGTTACTAGGTCGAAGGGGTTACTAGGTCGGTCAGGGTTTACTTAATTGGTCAGGGGACTAGGTCGATTAGGGATTACTAGGTCAGTCAAGGGTTACTCGGTTAGGGGTTACTAGGTCAGTTAGGGGTTACTTGGTCAGGGGTTACATGTGTGTTAACTGGCCGCACCTTGTAGCCAGCCACACACAAAACCTGCTGTCAAAAGTTATGATAAAAAAAAATAACCACAAAACTGTTGTCCTTCGCTACGCGTTTTCGAAAAGTTATCTTCTTTCAAAAATCTATCTTCACCCGATTTTAAGCCTATAATACCACCATTATTTCTGATTTTTTTAGGAGGAGAATTTGAGAACCATACAAATATTTTATCAATCCCAAATCATCCCAAAAGGCTTAGACTTAAAGTTTCAACGTACAATTTCTATTGTTCTTAGTTTTATTTCTAATAATCTTATTCAAGTAATTCAAAGTCCAAAACAAGATCCGAAGATTCTACCTTTTTTACCAAGGCATAAATGTATAATCCAGAGGGTGATATTAATTTCTCTAACTCTTTAATTTAATTCTTGATAATTATTATTTTTATTGAAGTTACTAACAATTTATTCATGATGTAATATTCAAAGTTGCACATTCAGAGTGAATATTTAATTCTTTGTTTTTCTAATTATTTTTATTGCTTTGATTACTATCATCATGTTTAGGACCGTATTTTAATTTCTATAGTAACATGCTAGGATTGTCATTAATCTGTTTAGTATCATACCTAAGATCTTACTATTAACGATATTTTTAAGATGATGATTTTGATAATAATTATATGTTGCTTGATTATCATTGATTTGTTACTTGCACTACAAGAAATAGACTAATTTTCGACGGACAAGAATATCCGTCGCAAATCACAATATTTTCAACGGATTTTTAACCCGTAGGAAATTTCCGACGGATTTCAAACAATTCCGACGAAAATTCCGTAGGAAACTATTTTTCGACAGAAAAAACCATCAAAAATTAAATAATTTCAGATGGATTTAATTCAATCGAAAATTTTCGACGGATTTTCTGTCGGAAATTGTAGACACCTGATTGTGTCTCCCCAAAAACCAAACTCAATTATGAGTACCTTTCACGTCTTTGATTAATGAGTTCAGTAAAGTGTTGAAGAGTCTCGTGAAGTTCCCCTAAGCCTTGACCGTATTTCTAACCTTTCCTAAAAGTTCTAATCCAAAACCAGTCATTTTGTGCCTTAAAACCCAAAATCATTCATTTCGTGTCCTTAAAATCATTCATTTCGTGTCCAACTCATAAAAACGTCCAAACCAGATTATTTTGGTCTATAATCCCGGTCGAATTATTGCTTAGTTGGATGAGGTTTCAAAAGAGTTTTCCAACGATATATTATAAATCCAAATCCGACTAAAAACGAATAAGTTATGGTCAAAATATCAAACCGAGCCCAAACCGGACAAGGGTCCCCCTTACCTACGACCCAATGATCATGTGAGGGTCCAAATACCTTATTTCCAATCCTAAACCCATTAGCAATCCTTAGGAGCTTCTAGAATCCTCCAGAAGGTTCTAATTTATCCTTTCCGAAAAGATAAAGATCAAAGAGTTCGAGTTTGAATAAAATTTCTCTTCTTGATAATCCTTGTTCTATTCAAATTAAAAGACGTTCAAATATAATTTGCATAAAAAACCATTTGAAACCAAACTCCGAATAAAATAGATTATCCTTTTGAAATCATCGCGCCACAACAGCAATTTCGCACCGCGATAGAAACAACGCGGCATGATAAACTCCAACGCACCGCAATACACTCCAACGCACCGCGATAGTCCCATCGCGCCGCGATGGACACTGTCGCGTCGTGATAGGTCTATCGCCCCGTGATGAAACCTGTTTTATTCTGATTCAAATTCTGATCTTTTTTTATCGTAAAACTTTCTTTTTTCCTTGTAAATAGAGGTTGTTTTCCCTGTTTTCAAATCAACTAGAATCATCAATCATAAGCTACAATTAGCTATAACCACCTAGCTCTAATCATCATCAATCCTTATTAATCATCCATGTTCTTAGCCTCACCCTAAACACATTCTTGATACTCTCCCATATCAGTCACAATACCTCATTCACGAGATTTGAATACTCCAAGCCATACTCGACATTGCCTTTGACCTCGACGTGAAAGGTTGATAGTTATGAGGGTTTGTTCCCAAATCTATATTTCAATTCATATTTGATTTATTTACTTTATTAATTTAACTTTCTTGAAGTTTACTAATGTGTATTGTTTTAATAGCAAGAAGGTTAAGGCATCAAAGTGAGTAATTTAATTACCCTTATTTTTATTCTTTGATTTTGGAATAGAAATCATGTTTACAATATTATGTTAATTCCTATTATCATGTTAGCATGTTGATTATGATTTCTAGTATCATGTTTAGGATAACGCTAGGATTTTGATTATTAGTGACATGCTAGGATTTGTTACTAATCCGTTTAGTATCATGCCTAGGATCTTACTAACAATGTTTTGATGATGATTTTCTTATGATGATGATTGTTGTATTAATCATATGTTGCTTGATTATTCATGATTTATTGTTATTGTTTGATCACGCCTCTTTTTGCAGGTTTAAAGGGAATTTATACTTGAAATCACGCCTAATAAGATAATTAATAATTTAATTTAATTTAATTAGGCTTAATATGACTTTAATTCAAGTGATCACCAATAATAGATTTTATTGTGCATTAATAATCAACCAACGTAGATTAAACAGGTTTAGGATTAACTTGATGTATGTATGTTGATCAAAAAGCGCACATGAATATCATAAGAATTAAGTAGAGGCCGATTTAGGGCGTGTTCAATCTCTTTTAGGTTGGATTCGTACCATCATCCCCGAACATCCAGTCATGGTTCCGGACCACTATAGTTAGCAATCTCTGTGATTGTGAATGGGGTGTAACCTTCGCACCCGTGAACGGTTTATAAGTTCCTAAAACTTGTTGTCGACTCTTTTATCTCTAGCTTCCTTCCCTTGGAGCGCCGCCATGCCTAAAAGCATGAATACATTGGGGCTCAAAAGTTGAGTTTGAAAAATTCCCTAGAGAAACCAATTTAAAAAATAAAAAATAAATAAAAATAAAAAATAAATAAAAACGAAATGAAGGAAACCCTAAGAAACATGTTAGCCGCCACCCCTCTTCTATTTCTTCTTCCGTTCTCTTTTTCTCTCCTCTCCTCTTCTCTATTCTCCTTTTCTCACGATTCTCTCTCTCTCCTCACTTCTCTTTCTTTCTCCTCTCATCTTCTCTGGCTTCCCCTCTCTCTCTCCTTACTTCCCGTCTATCTTATCTCTTCTTCTCACTTCCCTTCTTTCTCCTTAATTCCCTTCTCAAGTCTCAACCGACCCCCACACACTACTACATTTTTGACCAAATGCAACGGCCAAATAAAGGCTAATACAACGGTATTATAATTGCCGTTGCAATAGAGTAGGCTAATGCCACCGATTTAACTCTAATGTTCTTAGAGGTAGAGCTATTGCCACGGCTCTAAAGAACCGTTGCATTAGCCTAGCTATTTTAACAAAAAAGGGAGTTATTGCCACGGTAGTGTATTGTATGATGAAAAATTCATAAACACGCGGTGTACTTCCCTCTATCTTCTTGCCCAAATATTTTGAACAAAATATTTCCCAAATTTTCAGTCTATACTACCCATTTCTCCATTTTCCCCAATTCTCCATATTCCCTAATTCTTCATTTCCTCACATTCTCATATTTACCCTAATTCACCACAATTACTTCCAAATTATGAGAGGAAAATTACTCAAAAATTCCGAGGGCTTTGTTTCTGAGGGTGAAACACCACGCACAGTGGTGTTAGGGTTAGGGTTCCACCACAGAACCACTCCAAAACCACCTCCGTTGACGAATTAGGGTTTCAACGAAGACAATTGGGCGCAAACGAGGATTAGGGTTTTCCGATTTTTTTTTTCATTTGGATATGATGTTAGAGTTAGGAATTTTGGACAAAGTTGAATTTGATTTTGGTTGGTATGGATTGTGTGATGGTTGTTGGTGATTTGTGTGAAATTTTTAGGGATTGGCGTCAAACGAAGGATTCTTAATGGAAGAGTAGAGGGAGAGGATGAAGATAGCTTCGGAGAATTCAGTACTGTCTCCTTCGAATCGCCTAAGGGTTTGTCGTCTTCGCCGAAATCGACTACATTCCTCTCTGATCACCGTGGGAAAGGTGGAGGTGGTGGTGGTAAGGCGCCTTGTGTGAAACCTCGTCATTCGAGGAAGGTTGTCAAAGTCAAGAAGGGTGAGTAAAATTTTATTCACAATGCTGTTAGTTTAATTTCCATTGATTTCTTCTGGTATTATTCATTGTGATTAATCTGCCAATTTTGTATGTGTTGTATGTTTTAGGTTGATTGATACACTATTTTGTAATATAAAGTACTGCTTTAAACAATGAAGATGAAAATCACTCTTTTATGTGTTAATATTAATCCTTTCCCTTATTATCGGACAACTTTGAGTTTTGAAGTTGAGTGCTTTCTTTCTTTTTTTGTTTTTCCCAATATTACATGTAGTAGTGTACATCAGCCACACAACATCACTGCAACGACAACAACTAACACCACCGCCCTCAATTTCAGATCTAAATCGTAAATTCATGCCGCAATTCGACCATGAAAACTAAAGGTTTTTCATTTTTTAAACAAACCAATGGTTTTTCATATCTAATTCCCCCGTGAAAACTCTAGATCTAGAGTTTTCATGGTGGAATTGTGCCTTAAAAACCCAATTTGAGGCTAATTTCGAGTATGCTCTTTATTTAAAGGTATGTTCTTTGTTTTTTTTTTAAAAAAAATATAATTTCTCTTCTAATTTGGTTTTTGGTGTTGTTTTTTTTTTTTAATGGTGGTGGCCATTTGAATTTCGGTGGTGATTTTATTTTTTTTATTTTTTTTTTACGGTGGTGGTGGCCATTTGAATTGCGGTGGTGATTTTTTTTAATTTGTTTTACATATGTTAAGGGTGGTGGGGAAGGGGTACGGATGGTAGGGAAAAGGGGTACGGGCAGCAGGTGGGGAAAGGGGAGGGGTTGACTGCAAGTGAATGTGCGTGAGGGTGGTTGGGGAAAGAGGTGTGCTGGACAAGGTGGCCGGAGGAGGTTTGAACGGGGTTATTTGGATTGAACGGGGGTTATTAGGGGTGGTGGATGGTGGTGGTTATATGGGTGGTAGGTGATTTTTTTTGTTTTTTTGCAACATTTTCCGATAGAATATCCCAGCGGAAAAATTTCCGTCGGAAATTTCCGACGAAATTTTCCGGGCCGAAGAATCTCGTCCGACGGCTGAAATTCCGTCGGAATACGGGGTATCTCCGACGGATTAATTCCGTCGAAAATTGGATGTTTCTTGTAGTGTTGATCACGCCCCTTTTTGTAGGTTTAAAGGGAATTTGTAAATGAAATTACGCCTAATAAGATAATTAATAATTGGATTTAGGTTTAACATGGTTTTAATTCAAGTGATCACAAGTATTAGATTTAATTGTACATTAATAATCAATCAACGTAGATTAAACAGGATTAGGATTAATTTGGTGTATGTATGTTGATCGAAAAGCGCGCATGAATGTCAACAAGGATTAACTAGAGGCCTATTTTAGGGAGGATTTGACCTCTTTGAAAGTCAATTTCGTACCATCATCCCCAAACATCCAGTCATGGTTTCAGACCACTATGAAGTTAGCAATCTCTGTGATTGTGAATGGGGTGTAACCTTCATAATCATGAACGGTTTACAAGTTCCTAAAACTTGTTGGCGACTCTCTTTCTCTAGCTGCTTTCCTAGGATCGCCGGCATGCCTAAAAACATGACCTATAGTAGGGTGAGATAAAAATTCCCCTCAATAATATAAGAGTAAAATAAAGAGACTATGAAACTGGAAAAAAAAAAAATTGTACATCTAATATTATTTGACTGAACATTTCAGTTGTAAATAAAAATGAACATATTATGTTGTTGCTTATTCGTCAACATTTTTCTAAGCTTCAAGTGAATCATAATGCATGAAAATGAACATTTAATTATTGAGAAATACAAAACATCTATAATACAAATGAACACCTAATTTCATATTTTTGAAAATTAAAATAAATAATAAAATATATATCTTTTTATTAACGTGATATACAAATGAACATACAATTTTATAATTATGAACATTTTTCTAATATTAACCATATAATATACTCTTCAATGGTAAGTTATTCACAAATGAACATAAAACATATAAGAATGAACATATATTGATTTCATAATGAACAAAATTGTAAAATATGTTCAGTTAGTAAATTTTCATTTTTGCTATAGTAAATGTTCATTTCTGGTCGTGGGACCAGCCAATACTAACTGAATGATGTCCACGCTGCACAACTCATGGTCCATCGATGTGTCTCTCATGATGTTCGGGACATGTAATAAAATTATTTTTGGTTGGACTATTTAAGTGTTGTGTCTAACTAACCCTTACACTAGTGTGCCCCATGCCCGGAATGAGGCATCTTCCTTCTTTCAAAAAACGACTATTAGAAAATAACTATGGGGAATGAAAAATTAGGGAAGTTTTTACACTTTCCTTAAAGCAATTTAAAAACCCACTATGATTGATTGTTTTTTTTTGTTGATGTACTTTTAGGATTTTCCTAGGTATTGAGATCAATATAACAATGTAATCGAAACTCCCTAAGAACAATGAGAATAGAATACGAATAAAATGAAGATATTTTAAGTTAAGTTACAATTGGAGGCTTTGAATGTATATAGTGTATTAAGTATTTAGTCAAGATTTATCATTTTCTAAACTTATTTAATTTAGATAATTAGATTATTTAATGAACAGTCACGATTATCTTCCTTAATTACTCATACGAAACTACCGACTGCACACTCACCCAATCAAACTAAGCCCGCCGGATCGGGCAAATAAACTAACGGAAATGCAACTAGATTCACACCTGATCAGGCCTTAAAGCCTTCAAAATACAAATTTGGCTTCTCGCCCGCTCGGGCTAGCGTAACCCAATTAGGCAAATAGACTATCGGTTTTCTAAATATGTTGTGCGCCCGACCACACTAACCTAGCCTGATCGAGCTCGAGGTCAAAGTCCTTGACTTCCATTAAATTGGTTCTTGTATGTTCAAAATATTTAAACTACTTATACACTTGTTTCAAGGTATACCTCTCCTATTCTACCAATGTAAAACTTTCTTCCCAATGTTAAGTTATAAATAAAATAAATCGATCAACTTAATTCTTCTATTCTATCAATGTGAGACTTTCTTCCCAACATCACGCTATATAGATTAAAGTGGAGTACTAAACTACATAAACCACCTTGTATTCTACCTATATGAGACTTATTTTCCATCATAAAATAACACACCTACTATGAATAATACTCAACTAACACATTGTGCCAAGTACACGTGAATGACCAGTCCTACATTCCCTACATATTCGCTGCGTGTTAATTTTTGGGCCCCTAATAAGATCTAGGGCCTACTTATCCAATGCAATCATGTTGAATAATAGGTATCCCAATTATCACCACATGTAATTGTCTCACATTGGTTAAAGAAGAGAGAGTTAATCACTTTATAAGGATAAAGGGCTACTCCTCTTATTGCCATATGGTTTTGGGATAGAACCTCCTTTGTACTTGTGAAGTGAACTCTCTCTCTTGGTTTGCGAGTGCGGTCTAGACCCATATTTTACATGGTACCAGAGTTAGGCTCACAATATGGGACCCTAAATGGCTAAAGTTCATTGGGCCAATAGTAGGTCCATGTGAGGGGAGTGAAAAAGCACTCTAACCCGAAAAATCACATGAGACAAAGATTTAAAAGGGATCTTACATGTGAGGGGGAGTGTTGAAGAATAGGTCTCCCAAGTATCACCACATCTAAGTATCCCACATTGGTTGAACAAGAAAGAGTTAATCACTTCATAAGGCTAATCCTATTGTCATATGGTTTTAGGATGTAAGCTCCTTTAGACTTGTGAAATAAACTCTCTTTCTTGATTTGCAGGTGCGGCCCAGACCCATATTTTACAATTCACTCAAATCTTGCAAAGTTGCAAAGACACATAAATCTCTTACCAAATTTAGAAATAACCAGAAAGTCCAGAATCTCAATACAATCTTCTTATGCTTCGCACGAAAATAAGACCCCTAATTTCGTTGGTATTTTGAAATCTTACCTCATGTATCTTTAAATTACATATACCGTGAATTTGTCTCTTTACATTTGCTCTATATTGACTCTAAGAATTACAAATAGTTTTGGTCAACTTTTGGCAAGGTATAATATTGTTGTATGATAAGAAATGTGTTTTTTTTTTTTTTTTTTTTATAAATAATAATAATAATGATGGATAAGTAATTCACCTTATACTACCTCCGTTTGTTTTTAGTTGACACATTTTGAGTTTAGCACTATCCACTCACACCCTTTTGACCGTGTTTTGTACTTTATACCTAATGAAAAAATATAGTTATATGGGATCTTATTAGATTCGTCATGATATATATTTTCAAAATATCAACATTTTATAATTTTTGTTTATCGATAATTAAAGATATTAATGGTTGAAGTTGTGCATTGGCAAACGTGACTAAAGAAACGTGTCAACTAAAAAGAAATGGAGGAAGTTTTTCTTAACATGTTTTTATTTAGAATTCGTATTGCAAATGAAATATTGAATTCTAAACTCTTATAATTTAAATGTGTAAGAAAATAATAGCATATATACGGAATTTGTTTGATTTTTATTTCAATTTGTAAGCTCAAAATATCAACTTTTAATCCCCACTTATTACATCACTAGGGCGGCTAACGCGTGCGCCATTGTTAGCTATGTCCGGATAGCTCTTTTGGTTGGGTCTTATGTCACAACTTTAGTTGTTTGTAAAAATTATATGTAAACAAATAGTTTAGAGGCATAAATATCTGCACACTATTCTTAAGGGTTAAAAAAAACAATTAACATTAATGAGGGCTAATAAATAAATAAATATTTTAGAGGATATAATTGTTCAAACACTATTCATAAGAGTTATCTCGTACTTTTTAAAAGATAGGGATTTCAAAACAATAATATTTATTAAGAGTAATTTAATTTTAATACAAATAATTTAAGTACAGCAAAAATAAATTTAATCGATAAAAATAGTAACTTCAAGAACTAAAATAATTATACATAGTGATTAGTGAATCAGTTTACATTTGTTTTAGTTTGGTAAATCTAACTAATTTAAGTTTAGCAAACATAAGGTGAAAGAACATGATATTAAGAGCAATTTATACAACAATAATATGTACTTCGTATTGAAAAAGTACCGATTTATTCCCCGTAAACAATTGAATTTGTGGGAAAAGGCAAAATGTAAACAACTTAAAAACCGAGAGAGTAGAAAGTTAATTATAGCCCATTTGAGTGATTTGACAACATTCGAAAATGGAGTTTTTTTCGAGAGTTTGTCACACTTCATAATTTTTCCAAACTTTTGTTTTTCTTCGAAATATTATCATTGAAATTCTATCTCCGCCAAATTGGGAAAAATAACAACACTTACAAAGTTTCGAACTACTATAAATATCCCAAATGAGTCACGATATTTCACGTGTCTAACACGAGAAATATTAAAAAAATCAATCCACAAACAATTTTTGTCCCAAACTAGAAATTATATCTATATTAAATTATTTTAGTAAAAATGTAACACCATACGAAATAGATACGTGTTACTTCCTAGCTTTTCAATTTTGTACTTTCTGACATTTGGTTGGTTGTCTTTGGAATTGGCCTTGTGTCACTTTCGATTCTAAAGGAGTTTTATAAATATTGGTTGCCATTTGGTTGGTTAATTTGGTATTGATGTCATTGTCAAGTGTCATTGTGGTATATACTATAATACTCTTCTAAAGTCATTGCTAACTTTTAAATGAATTATGAAGAGATTCTTAGATTCAAGCTTATCCAATCAAAGTTGTTACACAAATGATTCTATAATTAGGTCAAATTATGAAACTATAAATAATGTTCAATTACATACCTCATATGACTCATGAGAGTTCATGCAAATTGAAGTTGCACGAGGTGTTATGAACGAACCTAATCCCCATCACGGCTAGTTAATCTCACCTAGGAAGGTTGTTCACTATGAAAGTTCGTTATTTGTGTTTGATTTAGTGCTTGTTTAGTTTACTGTACATGCGTATTAACTTTAACACAACTTCATTTAGGAAAGTTAATACTTTTGAGAGCTTTCTAGACATTAACATGCATGATTATGTTTATTTGACAATTTAACATATGAAATTTATGCTAATAGACAAGAATTTGTGGCTGACCTAGAGGATATTAGGTAAGTAACTTCTCATGTTTTATGAATTTCAACTTTTCAAAGAAGTTTCACTTTCCCCCTTTCAACCTTTTTCATATCAACCAAACAACTAGTCATATAGGAAGTATGCATTTTTTAGGAACTAAATCAACTTTCCCCTTCTACTTGCTTGCACCCAAACACACACTTCTGCTCAAGAGATGAAATCACCGCCTTTCATCATTATAAATACCTCTATTCAACGATCACATGTGTTAGATTATTGCCCACAATAACACAATTTTATTTCTTGTCTTACTTGTAATTAAGACTTATATTAGGTCATGTGTGTGATAGATCACACATTCAAATCCCCCCACACCTTTATTTTTATTTTTTTATTGCCTTTATGGCCCTGGTGGAATTAGGTATTTAATTGGACTAATGACCTAAAAAGGAATAACCCATTCACATCAAGGAGGCAACTTCTATATACTGGTACAAAAGAGTACAATAATACTCCTAAGTAGATACACATGACCATTGATTAAATAAGCATTCTATTCAAGTCTAATCCAACATAACTATGACAATTTATTTCCTTAGTCTCTTAAAGTCTTAATAATGATCAATACTCGGTACAAAATAAAACAAAAGAACAAAAGATAAATAAAATATAATAAAAATAAAATGACAACAACACAAATTTATGACACAAACCAAATGAATAGCGATAAGACGGGAAAAAAGAATGAGCAATCAATCTATTTCTACGGTGGTCCGGACAAGTGACTTTGAGAGAAGTAATCCAATTTTCCTCCTTAGCTAGGTTCATGCACCTGTTCTTGTTTGCGCATCGAGCCACACCTCTTATACCATGACTCACACAGTCACACTATATAGACAGGCTACCTAATTAGAATAATCCGAATATAAATATTCAGATTATTATTGGATAAGATGTGAGGTAAGAAAAGCGAACGAAATTAAAGGGATTTATTTTCCTTTCTCTTTTAATAAATTAAATTCCTTTATTGTTGCATATTAATTTTGAGTAATGTTTTGAGCTAACGTATTAAGTATCATGATATCAACTTTTTTTTTTAATTTTTATAAACATTTAATTGTGTATAGTACCTAGTAATAGTCACACAGATGCATTGGAAATTATGTATGTTAAATGTGACTGCACAGGGCCAATAAGTTATTAGGGCCTCAAATCAATTTAAGCATATTAGAAATCAGTTATTATCATTTTGAGAATATCCGTGTTTAGCTCAATGGTCTAATGTTGGGGCTTTTTTTTTTTTAAAGCAGTTTATGGTTCGATTATTGTGGGCGTCACTTTTTTTTTTTTATCTTTTGGTACCTACACTTGTTTTTCTAATCCACACATGACACAATAATAAATGTCTGCTAAGCTTTAAAAATTCTTCATCCTACTATCTCATCACCAATAAGCAACACTCCAAAATCATACACATTTAACAAATACATTGAATCAAAATCAAGGAAAACATATCAACAAAAGTATAAATAAGGAAATTTTAAGAAAAAGAGAGCACATAATTCTATTTGCTAGACTAATAAAATCCAAAAAAAAGCAAGAAATGGTTTGATCTTATTCTTTAGATATCAACCCTTAAAAACTTTAACAACCTTCATAAATCATCCACAATTTGCTAGTAATTGTGATTGTTGAAAAGTTGCATTTAATTTTATGCTATAAATTGAATGAGGAGCCAATTTATTTTTCATCGCACAGGGCCTCCATATGCTGTGGGACAGCCCTGTTTTGAAATGTAGGGAGTTCTTACATTTTCTATTAACTACTTCACATATTGATAATACAGATTTATCAGTATTTCAAAAGCTACTATCAACTCAATACAACTCTTAAGATCATCTCCATTGGTGAGACTCAATTTTGAGTATTGAAATACAAAATGAATTGTTTTTCACCTCCAATGGTGATACCTAACCCACTTCTCAATTTAGCAACTCACGTAAAATCTAATTTTTCAATGGTGAGACTCTCTAAAGTATACTAATGTCACTTTCAATTAATGGCCCACCAAATCCATATGGTAAGTTTTTCAAAAAAAAAAAAAAAAAAAATTGAATAAATTACAAAATATATTATAATATTAATAAAGGGCCCACACTTTTTGTCCAAATGATACTCAAAGTTGACTATCTAAACTTAACAACTTTCCTTTGGAGTTTAAGTTTAGATACCAACTTATTGGTACCCTTTGTAAAAAATATTCTCTCTCTCTCCTAAAAAAACTCTCCCAAGTTTCACCATTGGAGATGATCTAACTCTCACCATTAAAGATGGTCTAATAAAGTGATACACATACATGGATGGCTCAATTTTCAAGGGCCGAATATAAAACTAAGATGGTCAATGTGAACCTTGTACTTATACCTGATCCAACATAAGAGAAAGAAACATTAAAGGAAGTGAATAGTGGAGTACTTTCCATAAAAACCAAATTTCAGGACCACAGGTGTTTCATTAACTCAACATACTCACATAAACAAACTAACTACTAGTCTACTACTAAATCCAAAACATATTTCATCATCATTAAGAAAAAGAAATAAAATTATAAAATAATTAAAAGATAATAATGGAAATACAATCCCATAGATAAATCCAAAAAAACCATGGGCACCAAAGACCTACAGATTCCATCATAATAAAGTTGCAATTCATTATAGTCCACAAATTTTATAAACCAATCAACTTTTTAATCATTTTGCAATAATTGTCCACTCCAACTCACTTTTTTAACATTTTAATAATAATATTCCCAAAAAATATTCCTCTTTTTTATTTATGTTTTTTCAAATCACTCCAATTGCCTATATATACTTCCTATTCCCATTTGTTTACCTTACAATTCTAAACTTCTAAAGTCTCTCATTTTTCACTCTTATTACCCTTCACAAACCCACAATAATTACTCTCTCTGTCTCAAATTAGTTTTCGTATAATATAATGGCGGATTTCTTTGAATTTGAAGAGTCGGAGATTGTATTCTCCGACGATTCCTCCTCCAATCAAGCCAGCAATAACAATGATCGCCAATCCAACTCGAGATCGATCTGTGTTAGAACAAGCACGATCTCGAGGTGGAGGAAGGATGAACAATCCTCTGTTCCGGTGAATATTCCGGGGAGTCCTAACTCTTCTTCATCATCTTCTCCTCCTTCTCCTTCGCCTCAATATGAGAAGGTAGATTTTGGTGGGTATTTTTTTGAAGATGACAATGAAATGGTTCCTCCTCATGTGATTGTTGATCGAAGATCAAGTGGTTTTGATAGTTATGAGAAGAATGTTAGAGTGAAGAATATGATTCATGTTCGAAATTCTATCCTTAAATTGACTGGTTTTCTTGAATCTTAACAATTTCTCTTTTGTCAAAACAAAATTATTGGGGCAGTTATTTGGGAAAAATAAAAATTATAATCTAGAATTCTATAGATAGGAATTTGTATATACTTCATAAGTTTCCCTTTTTGGGTATTTTTTTTTTCCCCATGTACAAGAGTTGATGTATTGTAGTTTGCGAGAATATATATGTTCTCAGATTTTGTAACCAAAGTTGCAATTATAATTTTTGCAATTAACAGAGTTTACTAATTTTATTTTACTTTTATTTTTTTTCTGTTTTTCTGGTGAAATCTTCGTTTAAATCAGCTTTTCTTATATAGTTATGTGCTAATGTCATAAGACAAGATCATCGCATGATTTCAATCATATGTTAAGGCAACGTCTGTTTCTTAAAGTTATATGGGTAATGATATATGTATAAGCATTAAATTTGCTTCCAAAAATAGAATTGAGTTGGGAATTCATGACAAAATCACTCACAGATCGATGTAATTAATGTTACTTTATTCTAAATATTTTCTTTTTTAGTTTTTAAGGGCTATGTTTATCATTTTCCAAGTTATATATATGGAATATACTATACACTTTCAATCTATTTTATTTTATTCTTGGTAAAATATATGAAGTATTTACTAGAATACTCCATAGCTTATACAACCGACTGTACAATACGGATAGGTTTTATAAGTTTCTGCTCTGATAAAATACGAAGTATAACTAATTACGAGTGCAAAAAATTTGCAATTTCATGCGCACATCTTATTGCGCTTAAGATTAAAGTATTGAGGGTTTTGTCAATATATATGTATATTAAAGTCTTGAGAAAAGACTTTTCAAACTTTTGTGTATTTTTCTTATTTTAAAAAAATTGCACTTAAACAAATACGAGTAGGTGACTAGGAGTTAACACCTAAACCAATTACGCTCTCTATCATTTTTTTTTCTAGGCACATAGTCCACACTTGACATTTGACAATTCAATCCTTGAGAGGGAATAAGAGCTAGAATGCAAACGGTGATTCTGTATAAGTAAATACTTCCTCTGTATTTTATTAGATGCATTATTTTTCTATATATGAATGTTTTAATTTAGTTGCAATATTTTTCATTTTAATCAATAAATTCTCTCTCTCTCTCTCTCATATCATATGTGCGCTTTTTATTTTTTCTCTCTACTTCTCTTTACTTCAAAAATTGTCTAAGAGCTTGTAATTTTAAAAGTGATGCGTTTAATTAAAAAGCAGAGGAAGTACTCCCTTTGTCGGGAACTAATACACATACAATCATTTGATTGTATGTGGTCCCAACATACATCATCATTGAGATTGCGCCATATCAGCAAGAGCCAAAAAAAGAAGAGGGAAAATTAGGGGGGAAATTATCACCTTTAATGGCGCCATCTTCACCAGTGAGCTGAAGGTGGGGAAAAATGTTGGCGCCAACTAGCATTATTACACAATTTCATTTGTTTTTATTGTTCAGAAATTTTATCCATTTATTTAGGATATAATTACAACCATTATACAAGTAAAAGTAAAACAACTTACCTGGAGAAGATGAGCAGACTGCCGGAGAAGATGACGAAATCCAACGCCGACGAATTTTTTGGTGAAGTAATAAAGTTTGAATTCGCGAGTTTGTTCAGTTTTGGTCAAACAAATTCGATTTTGTGTTCACCAATCCACCATGATCGATTTAGTTATAATACTTCTTTAATTTTAATTAATTTTACGGTCACTGATCTCAGTTTTAATTTCCATATTCAACGATCCACCATGAACGGGGTACGAGTTGTTCAGTACATAATATCAACTTAGTTAATATATGTCTTTATATTAAAGTAATGTCATTCATTTCTTGTATTAAAATTTCGACGAAATTTCGAATTACTTGATTCTGAACTACGTTAATTAATTTTCTGCCACGTCCCTGTGACCCAAAGATAGGTATTTATTTAATAACAATAACAATTGTTTAAGTAAAACCATATCATTTGATTAATCGTGTACAAATTAAAATGTGTTAGATACAAATCAACTTTCTTACGTTGTATTATTTATGTCACGATCAATTGCTAATTAGTCAAATAAAAAAACCTATCCCAATCTATATTATGAAAAAAAACTAAATATTTACAAAATAGCGTTTGATAAATTTTAGTACATATAAATGAGATATACTTTATGTATTAAAATTTCTATGAAGGGATGTAATCATTTTTTTTTTCTTTTAATTGTACAAGTGATGATTTTAGAAGGTCTTATCATACTCCCACAACGAAGGGTTGCAATTATATCACTAAATGTTACATTCAATCATTATTATACTACAACTTATTATTGTTATATAATCCCACGTGTTTAAAATTTATTTTATTATCAAAGAGATTTTTTTTTTAATGTCAAGCGGGAATAATTTTATAAAATCAAATTCGCTTCGAATCATCATCGATATCGCTTCTAGCAATTAAATGAGCTACCATATTTCCCGCTCTTCTGACATGGTTACAATTAAAGAAATCAAACAAAACACTCAAGCGATAAATGTCATCAGCACAAGAAACATCGGACTAGCATAATTTTTCAAATATACTTATTATCATTATTGTGATGCTTATCATTAGTAAGGATATGAGGACCAATAATACATTTAAAGTTTTATACTCCGTAACATACAAAGTTCCTTTGACAACTAATTTAAACGCTCTTTACTTATTGAAAGGAAGTTTCAACAAAATTAAAGTAATTCGTTCATAATTTTTTTTTTTTCATTCATGAGTTTGCACTAGAATGACATTGCATCTTACAATAAATGAATAGTTAGATTGCTATCAACTTATTACTGCTAAATTATCCATTGTATTTACAACTAAATTCATGAATTAGCATCCCATGTTACTAGTAAATTGAGTTATATATTAATTTTACACTAACTTATATACGGTTACCAATTAAATTACTAAGAATATGAACATAGATGGGAAAGGTAAATAAATTTACTAGTATTTAATTATGGGGTGTCTAAGTTATTTAACAATAATAATAATAATAATAATAATAATAATAATAATAATAATAATAATAATAATATATTACAATTTATTAGTTAAAATAAATAATGTAATAAATAATTTTATACAACAATAAACATACAATTAAGTTACTTTTCACGATGTTTCAATGTTACAACAATAAAAATACAACTTTAATTTATAATACAAATACATGATATAGGAAATATTAATATATAATGAGAATATAATATACAGAAATATTTATAGTCAATAACCACTAATAATGTATCATAAACAATACATATAATCAATTTAACTTGATACAATTTCAATGTTGATATTTTCAAAAAATCTTATCATTATTGTAATTCTATTAAGGATATGAGGAAAAATAATACATTTAGGGGGTGTTTGGTATGGAGTTAGTATAGGAAACGGAATGGAAATAAATTAGGAGGGGAAAGGGTAACAAATTACCCTTACTAGTTGTTTGGTACATCAAAGGAAACAGAAACAATTATTACCATTTCGTTTCCTCTTGTTTGCTATAACAAACGGAAATGAAAAATAAGAATGAATAATACAATATTGTCTATGCTACATATTTTACGGTTAAAAAAAAGATAAAAATAAATAAATAAGATAACCTGTATTGCATATATATAAAGCAAAGTTGGCACTCATTAATTATCCAAACATTGACTAATAATATGTCAATCATCATATGAATATCCCAAGACATAACCTATATTGCTCAAGTTGCATATGTTCAACAAAAAAACAAAGACATGGCAACAAGACCTCCACTGCCATTTGGTTCATGGACTATCATTGGCCATCTACATCTTCTCAGAGAGCTTTCTCACATAATAGCACACAACCAAATGCTACTTCTTCTTAAGAAGATCAATTGCATATTGTTTTTTCATATTAAATGGTGCTTGATAGAAGATGCGAAGCTTATGTTCCTCCGCCATGAGAATATTAGCAACCTCTAAAGCTTCGGATGGAGAAATACCATCTAACTTCATCACCTCGTCCAATACCTTGTTCACCTTTTCATCCATCCTTTGCTCCCTTTCTTCCGCTTTAGACCATGCACTAGCTATAGTCCCGAGATTAACATTGATATTTTCAAATATCTTCCCAAAATTGTTGGAAACATCATGGAGGGAGGCCACCAAATCATCATCATCATCATTCCTACACAAACTCTTCAAATTTACCTTGTTCTTTCCTTTCACCTTAGTCTCCTTCGCCTTTATAGAGCATTTTCCGGATTGAGTAGTAGAATCACTTGCGGAAGAATGAATTGTAGAAGCCTTCACTTTTGCCATTTTTGAAGGAGTTATATGATCATCCTCTATCTTCATGGGGCATTTTCCGGAATGACTTGTAGAAGAAAAGTGTCCGAATGAGTAGAATTCACATCATCTTTTTCATCACTCTCGACATTGAATGGTTGCTTATCAATCTCTTGATCCATTTCTTCTATAGCATCAACAAACGACTCAGTTGCATCTCCGGTAGTTTTGTCTTTTGCGTATATCTCCGCAAGAGTTTCATAGTGAATGAATGGAACTTCAAACAACCCTTTAGCTTTCTTATGAGTCTGCCATATAAGAGAATGCAACAAGTCAAAACATGAAAATCAGAACTGAACCAGGCAACTGATAAACTTGCACATCTCACAGTATCTATGAAGATGTTTGGTGAAATTGGCAAATAGAAGAGTCGATTAGCGATTCTCCCAGCCTACATTATTGAAGGTATTGTGGTCAAATTAAAGGCTAAAATAATGATCTTCATGACAATAGTGTTGACATTCTTAACAAGGTTCTTGCAGGCTGCTATTTAAAAAAAAAAAATCTAAAAAAAAAAATTACACTATTATAAGTAAAATCTCTACAGAGACCAACTAGCCATACGAAATTTTAGGCTTTTACATGACAAATCCAAATGTCAGTATCAGCAGATCAATCCTTTTCATCAGTAGCACCTTTTGAAAACCTTGTGTTACTTAGTATTTCTCTAGCTATCTATCTTACGTCTACCTGCTATGGTCGTATAGGTATTGTAAAGTTGTATTTGGATGGCTTTGAGCTGCTCCTGCTGCACTCAATCTTTCTTTTGCTCTGATGGCTTCTGTTAAAATTATGTCCTAAAATTATATCCCCTGCAACTTATTCCCCTCCCTGCCCCTTCCCTTACACACATTGCTTCTCTCCCTACTTCTCTCATATTCACTATAAGTAGTGCCTTTAAAGAAAAGCACTACTTCAGAAAAAATAAATCTTAATTTGGACTATCATCAAAACTCGTGAAATGTGGACAGAAACTATTCTAGATCATTTACATGGCATGAAACACCTATATCAACCAGCATATTATGACATAATCAGAAACTTAATTGACAAACAGATTAATGTAGAAGCAGTGGCAGTGAGTTAACAACAATTACAGAAGACCAAAGAGGGTGCAGACTACATATGAACTCAGGTCATATGAACTGTCCAGCAACAGTTCTACAGATTGACCTTTAATAGCATTACAATCTTCAGAAGAAGAAAAAAATGAACAAAGAGGAATGAAATAGCATTTCATACCTTCACCCATTCATCGTACACGGCCTTGTCTACTTGCAACAATTTCTTTTCAGCATCCCATCCAAATCTTGAGGTGGATAGCATTTCTGCAAATGCACTATATTTCTCCGACCAATGCTTGATCCTCGACTCAATGAGGGGAACCGCTCTTAAGCCACAATTAGGAAGTACACCATTGATCATCTCTTCCAACTTACTCATGTAACCATTCTTAAACCCATTCTCACACTTCCACTTCGGATCGCAACTCAACTCATGTAAATATCTTATTAGAACAACATCTTCTTCATACGTCCAATACCTTTTATTTTTACTTCTTCCTCGATTGCTAGCCTTCATCCTAAACAAATTGTAGATTAGAAATGAACATAACATAAGGTAAATTAGAAATGAACATAACATAAGGCAGATTAGAAATAACAGAAGGCAGATTAGAAATAAACAGAAAACAGAAGGCAGATTAGAAATGAACAGAACAAAAGGCAATTCAAAGTGGCAGTGGCTTCAAAATGAACAAAAACAGAAAATACACCTATATATATAATGTAATCGAAGGGAAAAAAAATTCATACATTTTTTGCTATTGACCATGTCTATCTCTCGCCCTCCAATCATTAAACATATCTTGGGCTAATTATTTCTAAAATTGGTCCAATGATCCGAAGTAGCAACACTTGTAATAAATTCCCTTTCATCATCGGAATCACTTTCGGAATCATCATCGGATTCATTCAATTCATCTTCGTTTATATCATCCGTAGGCATGAATTTTCTAATTAGATTATGCAATAAGCAACAAGCCATAACGATACGTCCATGAGTTCTTATAGGGAAAAATGAAGGACTTCTAAGAATACTCTATCTTCCTTTAAGTAGGCCAAAACATCTCTCAATCACATTTCGCGCCCTAGCATGCTTCATGTTATAGAACTCCTCGGCACTTTCGGGTTGTCGATTCGTCCATTCTTTTAAATGGTATCTTTGACCTCTATATGGAGCAAGAAAGCCCTCACAATTCGTATATCCCGCATCAACCAAATAATAATTACCTTCAAAGTTATTAAAAAAAAGGATTACTACCTACGAAAACTAACAAAACTTATACACTCACAAAAGAATGAGCTTCACTTAGCTTGAGGTACCCTAAAATCGTTTGGTCTAGAGAGAGCATTGCGAAGTACACGCATATCATGAGCCGAACCTTCCCAACCAGGAAGAACATAAATAAATTGCAAATTGGGTGCACAAACACCTAATACATTCATAGCAATTGTTCCTTTTCTTGTTCTATACTTTGGTCGTTCTTGTGAAGGCACATTTACATTAATGTAAGTCCCATCTAATGCCCCTAAACAATTCTACAAAAATAAGAAAAAATTTTACTTACAAACAATCAAAAATTAGAAAATCCTGGCAAAATTTAGGGGCTTAGAAAAGACCAATACCTTGAAAATTTTCCACCTTTCATCTTCACAATCATCCAATATTGGTGTGGGATTGTAAAGTAATACTTAGTGTAATTTGAGAAAAGCCCTTAGACAAAAGTGAAATTGTCGGCTCACGGTTTCTCCACTTCTAAAGAAATATTGTCCAATAGACCTATTCTTCTTATGGTGAGCTAACGTGTATAAAAACATAGCTACGATCTCTTGAAACGACATGTGTTTTGTTCCACTCAAACCTCCAATGTCTCTAAGCATCTCACAAATAATATTGAAAGTTCTTCTATTAACGCGAAGCTCACTCTTGCATTTCACATCACTCTCTCTATAAAGCTTTCTCAAAACTAACATTCGTAGCAACTTTTTTTTTCTTTTTCTTTCTTTCAATTGAACACCCTTTATTGTAACAACACACATCATATGCCACATCCAATACATCATCAAAATAATAATAACCATTGAAATAACTAGTTGTATTTGTTTTAGCTTTTTCTTCCTTATGGAACACATAAGTCGAGGCATTGTAGAAACCTTGAAAAACCAGTCCAAAAAATATACAATAGTATCAATATACACTAGTATCACAAATAACATATATTACCCATCAAACACTATAAATTTAGCAACTAATCTGATATTGATCAAAAACGTATCATATATTACCCACAAATAAAAATCAATTCAGTTAATAATTAATAATTTGCACTTAAACATATGCATTTAGACAATGAGAGCTATGATTAGTAGTAGAAGATAAGCTTGTCCATGCAACACTACATGCTACTTTGGAATAGATACGAAAGTATTCTAGAAAAATCAGCTTGTAATTTCAAGGAGTAAATTTCAACAAATAAGTCAATAATAGCAGCGCAAGCAAATAAGTCAGATCAAATAGTATGCTAGTAACAAGCAAATTAACCAGCAAAACCATCCCAAATCAAAATTTTAATTAAAATTAGAAACTTCCTGATAATTGGGGAAATTTAGGGGGGAAACACAAAATAACCAGCAATTACAACAATAATAGCAATATATACCATCAAATTCAGTAGAAAATCAACAAAATAGAAGAAAATTTTAATCAAACAAGCAAGTGTAAAATTCAAACCAGGAACGGCAATATTGATATCGCATAAACCCTAGAAATTGAACGAGAGAAATTAAGATAGCAAACCTATGATGATTTTTGAAGATTTGAAGTAGATAATTAAAAAATTTGTAGAAAAATCTGAAGAATCGCAACTTTCTCTGTAGAATTGTCGAACAAATTTAGGAATTTCTCAGAAAATTTTCGAACGAAAGAAGAGAAGATAGAAGAGTTTTCTTTATTTTTTGTGTTAGAGAAAAGAAACACAATGTGTTTCCTAACTTATTACATCGGAAACAATTTGGTGGAATGGGTTACCACCTACTAACGGTTTGTGTTACTTTAGTCATTAACCAAACCCATTGAAACGGAAACACTAAACCGATTTCGTTTCCACTACTCTAAAAAACTTATACCAAACACCCCCTTAAAGTTTTATACTCCGTAACATACAAAGTTCTTGAATTTGACAAGTAACGCTCCTTAATTACTTTTTTTGAAGGTGAGCCTTCAACTAAATTTAAAGCACGTATTTCGTTATTTTGCTCGTGTATGACATCTTTCACTAAATGATTATTTCGATTGCTATTAACTTATTATTGCTAAATTATCCATTGTGTTTATAACTAATTTTATGATTCGGTATCCTCTGTTACTAAAAAATGAAGTTATATATTTTTAATTTTACTCTAATTTATGTACGGTTACTAATTTATGTACTAAGTTTATGAACCAAGATTGGGAGGGGGGGATGGTGATAATAATAATAATAATAATAATAATAATAATAATAATAATAATAACATATATTCGGTTGACTTCGTTGGTTTTTTGTAATAATAATAATAATAATAATAATAATAATAATAATAAAATAAGAATTGAAGAAGAAGAAGAATGATAAAAATAATAGTTATAATAACTTAATCATGATATTTCATTTTGCAATAAGCATAACTATTTTATCAAACTATTTCATTATATTATTAAAAGAAAAAAAGAATGATTATTTGTGACATTTTTCCGAAGCTATCTAGCTACATGAAATTTTTATTATATATTTCGTTACAAAAAAAGTTCAATGTACAAGTCAATTACTTGTGATCTTATTCAACACTTATTATTGATGTGAATTGAAAGTCTATTGTTATTTATTACTTGATTACCTTTACTTATTCTCCTTCACTTCTTATTACTTTCCATTGATTATGTCTTTCTCACTTGATGTGAAAGTCTATTGTTATTTACTTGATAACCTTTATTTATTCTCTTTCATTATTACTTTCCATTGATTATGTGTTTCTCATCACATTATCTTAATCTCTAAAGACTTGATAGGGGCTGCCTTTTTTTTCTCAAAACATGAAATTATTTGAAACAAATACAATTACACAAGACCAATGTTAATTTAAAATTACAAATTAAATTCCACTTTTGTAACTTTTGAAAATATAATTAAATAAACAATTACACAAGATCATTGTAAGGGTAACAACAAAAAGTTTAAAAGAGAAAAATATGCGCTTGTGAGGAATCAAACTTGGAATCATGTAACAACATGTCAATGTTTGCATATCTATCAATTATTCAATGCTTTCATCACATAGCTTCTTGTGTTACTAAAAAAATTTCAAACATTATATAATGAACTGCTGTGTCGTTTTCAGATATGTGCTTACCAAACATAGCTGCTTGTGTTACTAAAATATTATCAAACAACAATGTTCGAAATTATTGGGGGTTTTCTGCCATTGGTCACGACCTTACATCATTGGGGGTTTTCCGCCATTGGCCACGACTTTACACCATTTCCAACAATTATTGTTGTCGGCCTTCAAATCTCATATTTATTTATTAATCAATAGGTTAATCATGTGCCTTTAATAATTATTTAATTCAACACAAAATCCAAAATCATTTCGAGAGGAAGAATAAGAAGACTCATTTCAATATTCAATAGAAAAAGGGTATATTCTGCAAATAGACCCATTTCCTTAATTGGAGACGATTAATGGAGGAAGAATAAGTCCTTTTAATTGCAAATGATAACACCAGTTTACATTGTTAATTAGAATATAACTTATTTGAACACCACAAAATCGAAAATTCGGAAACTAATTTAACTCAAAATTCTTAATATTCTCAAGAGGTTTAATTTGTCCAATTAAATTTGATTAATTTGTCCAATTACATCGATTAATCTGACTAGAGGATGTAATTTCAAGATTCTATAACGATAATGAACTAGCTTCAAAGTTTTTTTTTCCTCATCTTCCATGGTCGCCCTTTCGCTATTTCTCTAGAACGTTATTCAAAGAATTAAAGAAATGAACATATTTTTTTTAAAAAAATAAAAATAAAAATGAAAATAAAAATGTATTAAATTACTAGCTTTGAAAATGTCAAAATATTTGAATTTTAAACATTAGGTAAAATTAGAAAATTCATTTCAAATTTGAACGAAAATTCAAAACTAGTGGAGTTTGGGGTCCATACTAACTACCAATGAAAATTTGCCATGCAGCATTGTATGTGGAGACCACATACAATAGTTGTATGTGAAGCCTTTTCCCTCCCTCCGTCCCTTATTTACGGCCACTGATTTCCGCACACCCCAAATTGATAACCGCACACCCTCTTTTGGCCCACTATAATTTACTTTCCTAATTTCCTTCTAAGTGCATTAAGTCTCATGTGCCAACGTTTTACCTTTTTATTTTTTTTATTAATTTTGAATTTTGTGGGTAAATTACCCAGCTCCCAAATCGCAAACATTGATTTTGCTTGTACAAGAGTTACAACTCAAATATCAGCAACTGCCTCTTACTCAAAAAGAAGGTATTCGAAAACAAATTTCCCAATTTGTTAGTTCTTTCAAGTCCTTTGGTTCTTGAACCCATGATTCGTCCATCTAAAACTCTTGGAACTAATTCAAGAAAAAAGAAAAAACAAAGTATTTCTACAAAGAGGGATCCTTTAGCTTTTGAGATGGTCGAAAAGGTCAGAAGGTGCAGCATGTGTGGCAACACGAATCATGATCGTAGAAGATGTCCTGAAAAAACTACTCAAAATTCTTCAATGTCCTTCATGCCTCCAATTTTGAATGACTTGACTAGTCCATCCACCTCTTTTGTTGTTGATTTGAACTTTTTGCCTCCAAACTCGAATTACAATAACTCGTCGTAAGGTAAAATTTTTATTGGTAAGTTGTGTTTATATTGTCATGCTATCAATAACTTAATACTAAAACAGACACCGGGAGTAACACGTGTCACATCCTGGTGCTGTTTTTTCCCTCCAAAATTCCCCTTCCCTTTTTAACCTTTTTTTTTTTGGGTGAATATTTGATACAATTATAATGTCATTTCAAATCTTTTATGTTATCTTTATGACAAAAATATTCCTTTTTATTTGGTGCTTATAATTTTTCCCTAAAATATTAATCTAAATCCTTTTTAATTATCTGATAGACGAAGTAACATTAGAATTTGCTAAAAAAAAACTCTGTAATACAATTGATTCATATTATTGATATTAAAGAAATTACTTTAAAGCATCACTTTTATTTGTTAGACATAATAATTTTTTTTTTAAAAAAATTACACTTACCATGCATGGCACGGTGCCTAAATTAGTTGTATTATTATATAAAAGATATTATATTAACATGTTTAATTAATATTGTGAAGGTCAAGAATATTTGATTTTATATGATGTCCACAATACAAAGTGCAAAGACACTAATTAAGGTAATGCCTTTTTTTTCGTAGTTTGGTTTTAGGTTTAATTGTCTAAACTAATTATTATATGCTATTGTAGTTTTGTCATAATGGATGCAGGTTTAGTCATTGGAATAGTTTGTTTGAAGTTACTGGCACAAGATTGGAGTAGCTTTGGTTGATGAATCGTATTCATGTATCTTTTAAGACAATATTTGTTCTTTTAACTTTTGCCCAACATTTGTATTTTGTTAAAAACTTAACTTGAGATAATCATAGTTATTAATTGAAGATGTTTAATATTTTACAATATCAGATTGATTTTATATTGATGTAAGAAAATAAAAAAATAAAAAATCAAACTTGACTCACAGTAGAAAACTACTGTTAGTGTGCTAGTAATACTTAACACTTGTTTCAGAATTAGAACAAACAAAAGCTACTACAAAAAAAAAAAAAAAAAAAAAGAAAATAGATTAATAACTAAAATAGAATACATAAAGCAAAGAAAAAGTCAAATATCAATTTGCTTTCTCACGTGCAAA